CTTAATTATAAAAGCGTTAAATAAATTTTTTAAAAAATAGAGTTTTAAAAGATTTTTATTATAATAAGTTATAGGGCTTTCTAAGTACAACGAGCACTATATTTCTTAGTAAATTCTTTTTTATTTTTTATTTTATTTTAATATTATATTATAAATATAAATATAATATATATTAAAATATATAAAAAATAGTTTTATATACTTTATATACTTAAATACGTTATTAAAATTTTAAATTATATTATTTATACCTAAGTTAAAAAGATATTTATAGTAATAAAGATACGTAGTTAGTGGGCTATAGGTGACGCACCGGGAGGCTGTACACGAACTTTTGGCACCCTACTGTACATGGGGCGGCTGACTCTAGTTCGATTCTGGAAAGGGAGAGAACCTTATTTTTGGCTTTTTTTTACGACCGGTCATCCATGTGTTGGGCCGAACTCATCTCCTGCACGTTGCCGATAGCGGATTGATTAATGCCCGGACACGGCAGTACCAATATCTCTCTCAATTGGCAATGGTGTACGTATGTCTCTTGCCCATAAGTCTAATCAATTTATCGCAATCGAAAGATAATCTGTCTACAATTTTCATTACGACTAGCATCGTTAGCACTCAACGGAACGTTAGAGTGTCTTTACATGTACGTTGGTTGTCATGGACATACCAGCCGCAGCCAATGCCCTCGGCACACTTGGAGCAGTAAGTTCCCGTCGTCACTAGAGATGAAATAAGAAGGACTCACACTCTGCAGGTCTGCTGGTCTATTCAGGTGCGTTTCTGTCAGATTGAATTTTTTTTGGATAGCGTCCTGACGGTCGGCCGTTGCGTAGCTTATTCCACAAATTGTCATCAATTACCGACGCCATAATGCTACCGGTCTGCAGCCTTCGATGATGATGCTCTGGGCGTGGGCCGGCGTTCCGTTGGGTGTCTACAATATCGTCGAGGACTTCAACATTGCCCTGCAGATCCAACCCCAGATCTTGACATTCCTAAGTCTCGCTACTTGGATCCAGTGCTTCTACTACCAAAGAGTAACATCTCCCATGCGATTCCTCACCTGAAATTGCCTTACTCACCTCGTTCATAGAAATGGTCTATCCTCCGCTCTCTCGCTGTCGTGGCCCCTATCGCAACCGTCATGGCCGGAATCCAAGTTGCCCTCGTCATTGGCCTCCGCATTGTCAAGGCCCGCGGCACAGATTGGCCCATGATCCTCATGGCTTCCCTCTCCGCCGCCCTCCTGGCCGCCGGAGTACTCCGACACTACTGGGACATCTACCTTCACCGCACCGTTCGCGGCATCTCCTTCATCTTCGTCAGTATCGATGCCGCGGGCGACGTATTCTCTCTCGCGTCCCTCTTTTTCCAGCGCCGGCTTGATATGTTGGGGGTCGTCATTTACGCGACTGAGTTTGTGCTCTGGTGCGGGGTGTTTGCGTGCGGAGGATACTTTAATATGTTGCCCTGGGCGAGGAAGAGATTGCGGGCGAGGGAGGAGGCTGGGAGGTCGAGCGAGTTGGAGACGCCGGGCTCAGATGCTGTGGCTAACGGCATTGCTTTGCATGATTTGCCTTCTTCGACGTCCGTCTTCCGGACCGCGTCCGGAGACGATTCTGGGCTCCGATCTAGAACGGTGGCTTCGCTGTGAGCCCGGAGGAAGCCGACTAGACCATTTAATGCAACGTCTGCCGTGGAAAGTCGAGACCAAGGCAACTCTCCGCCACCTTCATAGGCGTAAGAGACGGTATCAACGCCATCGATGTCCCGGTGGAGCGCCGGCTTGGAGGAGCACCAAATCCTAGCTTCTTCAACGAGACCGTATCTGTATGGTTTGGCAAGAGATGTTGTAAACTAGTACTGGGGTTCTCAGCACAGGTACTTAATAGGTCGGTACTAGGTCTAAAAACATTGTATTATAGCTCTATAGTATTACTGGTTCCTGCAGTACATTGCATTTCCCTCAAGCAATCCCTATTTATTGTTCTATCTTGGGTTCTGTACCTAAACAGCGTGTATTATTCTACGAATCGAATGCTTGAGCCCCGACTTCCCAGGCCCATACACTTCTTCTTGTGCCTTCTCATACCGGATTGAAGCGAATTCCGTTTCAAAGTCCATCTCGCCTACCGCAATCACTCGAGACTTGAGATAGAATTTGAAGAAGATGTACAGGACTGGTGACACAGCATTAGCCCATGACCACGGTGTTGAGGAAGGGAGCAGGCAACTCACTTGCAAAGATGAAGACATTGAGATAGCATGTCAAGAACCCCGAGGCGGTAAAGTTTCCGGTTGTGAAGACGTCGAAGCCTGAATGATGGTGTGAGTTGGGAATGACTCAAGTACTGCGGTGGTAACACAAATATTCGCGGAGGCTTACCTGAAAAGAAAACAACAAGAACAACCATCACTAAGGCCGCCCATGATATATAGGGCTGCCCAGAAACCTTGTATGGAAGCTCTAATTAAAGGTGTAAGCGTAGCATGCACAGTGAACGGTCATCACGAACAGTCTCTTACCATTTCTAGAGTAGCCTTGTGCCTTAAGCCCAGCGAAGAACCGAAGATACGTGATCTCAATCACGATCCAACCGATCAGACCGGCAACCGTTGTAATGTTGACGAACCATCCAAAGACGACAGAGGTGTTGTTGGCCACGTTGAGATAGACAAGCGGCATGAGGACGCAGGTCAACCCTACCGCGTAGTGAGGTGTCCCGAACCTGTTGCAGCGCTGAAGGACCCTAGGCGCGTGCCCATCGCAACTGAGACCGTAGAGGGTTCGAGACGCGATGAAGACGCAGGCGGAGCCGCTGCTAATGGCCGAAGTGCAGACCACGGCGTTGATGATTGACGGCAATACAGAGACACCGGAGCGGGTGAAGGCGATGACGAAGGGGGACTGCTGGGCGGTACCGGTCGAGATGCTGAGTGACGGGTCGTTGGATGGCCTTCTTTTCGTTAGACAAGTCCCTCAAGTAGTGTCCCTACCCAGATACGAGCTTCTTACACAATCATTCCCACAATTAGAATGCTAAGAACATAAAAGAAGAATACGCGAAAGAAAGTCTTCCTCGTAGCTGCTGGGATGATTTTTCTCGGTTGCCGAGTTTCGGAGCCCGAAATAGCAACGACTTGAATATTGCCGTAGCTGAAAGCCGCCGAGAGCAAAACTTTCCAGAAAGCCAGAAAGTTACCAGATGGGCCGGTGACTAGATAGCTGTTGAAGGCGCCGGGGTCCTGCCAGTATCGGAAACCTATACGGTCACCATTGGGTCCGCCACCGAGATCAATGACTAGGCCGCCGATGATGAGGCCGATGATTGTCATGATCTTTAGAGAAGCGAACACAACTTCGGTCTGTTTGTCTTGTAAGTTGCAGAGCTCTTTGAGTTGAAGAGTGGTATCTTACTTCACCGTATAGCCGGACGCCGCAGAAGTTGACTGTGATGATAAAGACCAGAAAGATTGTGATCCAAACCCCTGGATTTACGGAGGTATTCCAGAACTGAATCAAAGTTGCAGCGGCGCTGATCTCGGCAGGAACAGAAATCGACATGGTATACCCTATTCTCAAGTCAGGACTGTGCTCCAACTCTCAGCACTTACAAAGCTCGTGGCCTTGCACTTGAACTTACAAAAGTTCCAGCCAGTGGCTGCACCGAGTGCTGGCTCAACAAACTTGGTCGCATGTCGAATGAAACCACCAGTCGACGGCATGAAGGACGTGATCTCCCCCGTCGTATACGAGACGCCGGCGGTGACGAGCCCCATAACGATGTAGGCCAAAAGTGCTCCGGCGGGGCCTGCAGTGGCTATGGTTGTACCAGAGCTCAAGAACAAGCCCGTTCCCTTGATCCAGTATCAGGCGACAAATCATCCCACCAAATGGTCGATACTGAGTAGACTCACAATCATTCCCGCAATTGCAATCATGTTAATATGCCGAGACTCCAAGTCACGCCTGATCCCCTCACCATCTCCGGGGATAGAGGTGCTCTGGCCGGAGCCGGAGTCCACTTCGGGAGTTGCACCAGTAGTGGTCTCGCCCTTTTCCTTCCCCTCCATGATGGAAGAGTTGAACAGAATGATAAGGATCTATAGGGCTCAAATAGGATGGCCTCGTAAATCTGTCGAAGTTCAAGGATGCATCTCGCTGCGACTTCTTCCGAGTAACAAGATGGGTTGATCAACATTATGAATGACACAAGTGTAAGCACCCAAAAGTCGGTCCTGATAACGCCCCCGGAGGTGCCATTCAGGGTCGTAGGATAGGCGCAACTCCGCAGCCAATCGGGCGCTGGGTCGCTGTCAACGATCGACTTTGAGTTGCCGGTGCTAGGATCAAGCTTCGGCTTGAGACGCCGGCCGGTTGATAAGCCCCGTTGCGCGTGAGTGCGGGGATAGAACGGCTTCAAAGATTGGATAAAAGCCTGGGGAACGCGATCCCTGACCTGACAGCTCTGTCACACGGCATCCAACGATAAGACTTTAGTAGGTCAAGCATCATGGCACCCATTTCTTCTTCAAGTCCCGAGGACGCCTTTCAGTTATTCGACCTGCGGGTCGAGGTCGTCTGTCCACCAGGCAAGAGGATTATGTGTGGTGCCAAAGAAGGGGATTACTTCACGCTGAAGGGTGAGATGTTGCATTTGCCACCAGATCAAGGCATCAGCATATACAGCTTATGTACGCGAATACCGACCCTATCTACTCCAGAGTCATAGTTGCTGATTCTCGAAAACAGCATCGGTGCTACCCCTACTCGCTGCAAAGCAACGAGTAACTGCCAAGAACGACTGGATGACAACCGATGCGTTGATCGCATGCCCGGATCCCTGCTGTCCTTCCCAGCTGAAGATTGTCCGAGAAGGCATCAGAACGTTCCGTCACTCAGAGACTACTGCCGTTCCTTTGAGCAACGCCGATGCGCCCAAGTAGAAGTGTTACACAGACACACGTACTCAACCTCATCTTGGTCTTATCGATGTTCAAGCAAAAAATACACCATCTTGAGTATTGAAACCAGCTTCAGCCATGAGTCCAACCCAGGTCTCATCATCTGCAAAATCCAAACTCAGTGCGCCTTCCGCCTGGCCGAAAGCTCGACCTGAAGTTGCGGCATACCCGATCTCGCGTGTCGTGTCCCGCTCGCCAGCCCGAAGCTGGTCACGATGCTCAGGAAGATCTGTTACCGTCGACGCCTCGGCTGAGGGCTTGGAGATTCTAGCCAAGATGTTGTCGAGAAACCTTGACTGAAGTCCGCAACTCGAGCCCGACGGCGCAGCTTGCTGGGAGAAAACCAAGGCTGCACCCGAGATTGCACTTTGAATGGCTGGTTGAATTTGGCCGGCGATGGAATGGGACGTAGATAGCATGAGCTAGATTCCAGTCAGCCTTCAAATAAAGAAGAACAGTAGAAAGTTTCCCAATGGTCTAACCTTGATCAAGAATGCTGCACTATAGGCAGTCATCACATGAACAGAGTCTTGGGTAAAGTAAAGCCAAGAAGAGTGACGGCAGATGAGATGCAGCATCTCCAGGGCACTTGAGTAGCTAACCCAGAGAGCCTCCATATGGTAGGTCATGTTTGGATCCGACTGTGCTAAGATGTCCTGTAATGGCAAAGAGAACAGTTGTAACTTGAGATGTGTGCCATAGAACTGGATTAAAAAAGGATGGCAGCTGTCTAGTTGGAGGCTTTAGCTAGCTAACTTTCACGGCTTGGGGTTTGAGCATACCTGGATCTGCGACCCTGAGCCACCTCGACTCCCACTCCTCGATTCTGCTCTTGATGATTGCAAGGAGAGATTCGAGACTGTGTAGTTGTCTGGCGCGAACTCGACTTGACCTCGGTCCTAGTAGCCTGAAAACCTCTGAACTCAACAGTCGTAGTGTTACCAGCGCACCGAGCAGGCAATCACCAGGAGTAGCCATTGCATCTTTACACCATGGCTCAATAGACTCGATGAACTCACTTCGTTCAATCATCCACGGCTTTCCAGTTTGTAAGCTCATGCTACGCCCTATTAGCTCTTGAGCTACCATCTTCGCTCAGTCTTGATCTCCATCTTACCTTCGATCGTAAACAAAGAGAATCAGCCAGGTTCTCTCGATGTTCCTGGCTTGACGTCGCTCCAAGTCCATGGCCGCGTTTGATTGCGGCGAATAAGGAGCCAGCCGATGCCAGCCCAATTCCATGCCCATCCTGATCACGTATCCCAGGAGCATCCAGGCACGTGTGTCTTCAGACTCTTTCCAATAGGTCAAGATCATCACCGCTTGGGCAGTCTCAACTGATTTGGTTCCTTTTCTGAACGTAGAGGCAAGGATACCTTCTGCATGGTCGCGGAGTCTCTTATATAGAGCAGGATTGAATGCCTTTGAGGCTGCGGATAGGATTGCCGTCAGAAGGAATGAAGACTCCTGTCGGGTCCGGCTGAAGGTGTGCAGGTACGGGTCCAATTGGCTTATGTATGGATTGAGAGATTCCATGAAACTATTCACAGGTTACTCTTGTCCTGTCGTGGCGAGAGCGGAAAGGGAGAAGCTAGAGACGAAGATGCTTCAAAGTGGCGGGGTGGAACAGGGTTGTGACAGGTGCGTTGGCATTCTTGAACTCACTTTTCGAACAGAGACGAGGCGATGGAAGAATTGAGGAGACCAAGTTGAATTGGATCATCTGCAGGGATCCGCGACTCTTCTTGCTGTGCCTCTGAAGTGGTCGATTCTGAAGCATTCAATATGCTTCCAAGTGAGAAACTGCCTCGAGTGGCTGCACGACTGAACAGCCCAGCAGGCTGCAGGCTTCCATTGCTCCAGTCTGGACTTCGTTGAATTGCCTGCGCCAGTTCACTTCTCTCCTCAATCTGCCTTTGTTGTACCGACTGAGAAGAAGCGGCTGGTGCTGTCGAGATCTGGGCTTTGCGCTTGGGCGTGATTCTTGAACTGTTAATCGCTATAGCACTGTTTCTCCAAGTGGTACGCACCGAGTCCCTGGTTTTCTTCCACGGCGGTGATCTTGGAAAATGCACGTTAATGACTTCCGGGTACATCGATCGCAAACTATTGCATCATCTGCGGTGATGCATTTCATCTTGACACTCCTGCATTGAAGGCACGCCTTGGAACTGATCGAAGGCATGTCTGTCAGTCGGCGCAGATGTTGCTGGCATCACAGACCGCTGCATCTTACACGGGCTTGAGAAATGGCGATGCTTGGGTGTGTTCCATTGTGCATGCTGCTTTACCCCTGCTTTACTGTGCTAGATCGCCGGCTACCATTCGTGAAGTCAACACTAAGGATGACCGGCAGTTGGACTCGATAAGGCTAAGGGATGGAATTCGCCGGCTTCGGGGGTGCTGAGAACCCTTTTCGGATTTCTTTCCCTATCTTCACCCACTTTTCTCCCCGCCGTTCCCTGTGGTGTGACGTGGGTAAAGATAACCGAGTAATGAGCCGGCAAGCTACCGTCAGAGTCATTGATCGCCGATGGCTACTGGCAGTTGAGATGAATGCCGGCGTATGCTGGCTCGAAATCAGGGTTCAGCTTGTCCCTGCAGCAGCAGCAGCATCGTCCATTTCGTTGGACACCGAAGAGAAGGCTTACATGGAAGCTGTCGAAATCGAAGACTGAAGAGAGAACATAAATTTTGTCAAGAGACCTTCAGAATCACATAGTCACTCACCTTCCAGAAGACAATACAAACGAAATGGCGGCAAAACCAGAGGGCCAAAGCGCCAAGACGGCGCACGTCAACATGATGACGGACACCATTATCACGAATCTCCCCGCTGCGAACCTACGGGTCATCATGCGCTCACTGTTGGCCGCGCACCCGGACGTCACCACAACTTTCGAGGCCGAAACCCGAACTTATGTCAGAGATGCAGCGTTGCTGTCAGCTCAAGGCGAGTTGTCTTCGGAAGCAACTTTGAGAAAGACTCAGGCAACAATTCGTTGCATGCTGGGATGCGGGCTCAGTCTTGAGAGCATTCCGCTCATGACCAGGGTGGTAAGGGGCGGCATTAAGCTTCTCGTCGATCCAGAGACTACCAAGGAGAAAACGCATGCTGTCTTGGCATCCGTGGATGGTGATATCGTCCAGATCATGACCGCCGTTGAGAAAAGGCTGCTAGCTGCTGCGCGCGAAAGTCTCCTAGACGATGAGCGCGACGCCGTGACCAATTTGCACGAGTCTCTTCTCGAGTGCAGAGCCATAATAGAAGAGAAAGGAATGGAATACCCCTATACGAGGGCACTTTTTGCGACTTCAATGCTTCTTGGAATACCACTTCCAGTCCTCGATATGCCTTTAATCGGTACATCGGGCCTAAGCGCATCTCTTGCAGGCCCTGTGGATGCGAGGGAGACGTTTGAGATGAACGGCTTCAAATTGCCTAGATTATTCACCGGGCTTTGGCAAATGTCTAGTCCATCCTGGGGCTCAGCACCTACATCCAAAATCATTGCCCAGTTCTCCAAGCACATGGAAGCAGGTCTTACAGCCTTCGATATGGCGGACCACTACGGTGATGCGGAAATCATCTTTGTGAGTCTCATATTAATACCATTTCCCCCGAAAAGTGATACTAAATGAGTTAGGGTCGTTTTCGTTCGGCGTATCCCTTCAGCGACTCGACGTTCGCAGCGACCAAGTACTGTGTCTTCAACCCCATGATCGTTACACGTGCCGCCGTGCAAGCCAACGTAGCTGAAAGGTGCCGGAGATTACAGACAGATAAGATCGACCTGCTTCAATTTCATTGGCAATTCGTAAGTAGCCATATAGGAGGCCTGCCCGGTATTTTGATGGTGGCTAACTGAGGCCCCACGACAGTATGAGGACCCTCAATATGTGGAGGCGTTGCGATTTCTTGAAGAAGACTCGCGCGTCAAGGCTTTGGGGCTATGCAACTTCGATACTGAGCACATGCAAGTCGCCATCGATAAAGGCGTCAGAATACATTCAAATCAAGTACAGGTATACTGAACTCCCGCCAACTGAAAGGCTAAGGGGCTGAAACTGATGGGCCCTAGTTTTCGTTGATCGATAGCAGGCCCGAGGTCCTCATGGGCAAGGTCTGCCAGGAACATGATATCAAACTCTTGACATACGGAACACTGGTAAGCTGCAGGAGATGACTGGTATGATTCATCCGCTTGAAGGCTAACAGCTGTCGATGTAGTGTGGTGGGTTCCTCGCCGAGAAGTGGCTAGGAAAGGGGCAGCCGGATCTCTATGACGAGGCGATTACGCCGAGCCAGCGCAAGTATTACGCTATGATCCGAAGCTGGGGAGGCTGGGATCTGTTCCAGGATCTCTTGAAAGTGCTTAAATCGATCGCGTCAAGACACAGCGTCAGTCTTTCCAACGTGGCCACTCGTTGGGTGTTGGACTTCCCCTACGTTGGGGCAGTCATTGTTGGGACTAGGATGGGTATCAGCGAGCGCGCAGATGAGAACCTGGCGAGTCTAGGATGGTCTCTAAGCCAGGAGGATCGAGACCTGATTGAAGAGGTATTGAACAGGAGCAGGAGGTCGGAGATGTTTGACGCGATGGGAGACTGCGGAGGGGAGTATCGCTAGTACTCAGTTGTTGATACGGGTCTTACTTAGGAGTCTTTCGATGGCGAGAAGAGGTTTCTAGCTACCGTGAATTATTCATCCCTGTTTTACATAAGATCCATCTGATTAGAGGCCCTAAAGACGAAGATAGTGCCTGGTCGGGAACTCCCTTAATCGCTGGCAGGGATGGGCACGTGAAGGGTATCAGAGGCAAGATCCTTGAGAAGTAAATGATCTACATTCTGTAAAATCACACTCTGGTAGATATTGACCTACCAAGTTTCTAAACAATGCTGCGTTGATTCGAGGGCAATCAATCTCAACATTATCCACTCTCAGGAAAAGGACTCTAGCCTCGGCTTAACTCTACTACCTGTCTCTCCTGGATACTTCCCGCCGAGAATCCCACGAGAACCTCATACTGACCATCTACAAATATCCAGGCCTCAGTCAAAGTGTCCCACACCATGAGATCCTCAATCTTCACCAACAACTCCACAGCCTTGGTCTCCCCAGCTTGGACCTCTACTTTTTGAAAAGCCCTGAGCAACTTTGGTGGCTCCTTCGCAGCGTCCGGGAATCCAACGTAGAGCTGAACGACCTCTTTTGCCTTGCTATTTCCTTGATTCAACAAGGTCATTCTGACGAGTATAGCGCTGTAATTTGATGATACCTCCAATTCGGATAGACTAAAGTTAGAATACGACAAGCCATGACCGAACGGAAATAACGGTTCGATTCCGCTCTGATCATAAGCCTTGTACCCCACATAGAGGCCTTCTTCGTAGGGCACTTCGATGTTGGTACTGATACGTATAGTGTCGTTGAGGTTCTTGGGGAAGGTCAATGGCAACTTCCCGCTCGGGCTTACATCACCGAAGAGAAGGCGCTCTAACGCAAGCCCAACCTGTTGGCCAGGATACCAAATCTCCATGACGCCTTCGACTTGCTCAAGCCAAGGCATCAGAACTGCCGAGTTTGTGTTCAGGACCACGACGGTTTTCTTGGAAATACTGGCGAGCCGGCTGATGATCGCGTCCTGGTCACCAGGTAGAGAGAGTCCAAGGCCGCTATCAGCTCCCTCAGATATCCGGTCTGAGGCGAAGATAAGGCTGATATCTGCCCACTTGGCCAGCTCATCGGCAGTTGTGTCTCGGGTCTGGTTGCCGATGTCTACTCCAAGACTGATCCCATACGCACCAGTAGACAAAGAGTAGCCCATGTCGTATTCTAACAGAAGCTTGACCTCGGAGCTCGCTTCAAGATACGCTGCGCCTTGGATATAGTTCCCAAAATTGGCATAGGACATGTTGGCCACGAGTTCGTCATCCAAATAGAGCATCGCAGTACCCTGACCATACATGGAGAAATAGTACATTCCTGTCATGTTTGGAAGAAATACCGCCTCATAGACAGCCGAGAAAACGTCTGGATATGCTTGCCAGAGAGCTTTCGGATACGTAGCGATGGTAATGTTGGGAATAAGGTCGGTCATGTCGACAGGCCCGGTGAAGTCGGTTGTCTTGTAATACGTCACGTTGACGCCTCCATCTTTAAACATGTTCGAGGGAATTGTGGGAAACTGTCCAGTGCCAGGGTAAGCCATGGAGTACTTGGCTGTGATATTTTCTGCATCTCCTCGACGCTTGATCGCATCGAAGGGTGCTTGAACAACCATGGTAGAGTCAATGACAAAGCCACCGTGGTTTTCAGAGACCTGGTTCTCAGCAGTTGCTCCAATGCCAAAGACAGCAATTTTAGAATACTTTTCAGGAGAGAGAGGAAGGGTACTTTCGTCATTCTTCAGCAGAACTGCGCCCTCTTCAATCATTCGCTGCGCGAGATCCAGATGCTCCTGGGTACGTACGTGGGCCGTTGAGTCTCCAGTCACCGGATCGTCGACCTGTCCAAGCTTGAACATGTACCGCCAGACCCTTTGAACCATATCGTCAAGTCGCGCATGGGGTATCGACCCATTATTGATGGCTTCCACCAGTAGCTCGCCGTAGTAAGCAGGGAAGCCGTAGCTATCCGTCAAGTCTCCGCCGGGCATTGAGATGTCGAGCCCAGCCATGACAGAAGCAACGGTGCTTCTTGTAGAGAAATACCAATCTGCGACCATAAACCCTTCAAACCCCCACTCTTGACGAAGAGTCTGGTTGAGGAGCCAGTCGTTCTCACAGGTGAAGAAGCCATTGAGTCGGTTGTAGGAGCACATGACACTCGCTGCATCTGCCTCTTGCACACTGGCTTTGAAAGCCGGTAGATAAAGCTCATGCATCGTCCTCTTGTCAACCACCGCATCGACTGTTACCCACTCCGGGCCGTTGCCGAAACGATTCGTATCCTGGTTGTACGCAGCGAAATGCTTTGGGCACGCCAGAGCTCCTTGACTTTGAATGCCCATCGTACCGGCGACCGCCATACGGGCTGTCAGCCATGGGTCTTCGGACAGAGTTTCGGCAGCGCGAGCCCACAACGGAGAGCGAAGAATGTTGATGGTAGGCGCAAGGACGATATTGCGGCCTTTGCCCATGTGCTCTTGTGCGAGTGCCTGGCCAAACTCATACTGTATCGATGTGTCCCAGGAGCTCGCCGCGACAACTGGAGCTGGGAAAGCGGTCACATTATCGAGCGAGTTGCCGACACCGGCAGGCCCATCGCCCATGCAAATGCCGGGAATGCCGAGAGATGAGTTTCCTTGAATGTGCCCGATGCAGGCGTTGACGCCGGTTCCGTTATCTGTCAGCTACGGGTTAATTAGCATGAGCTCTCTCACTTTTCATGGGTAATATGGAGTTGAAAGTCTGACTTCAGTATCGCCTTGAACCATGGCATGCTTTTGGGTGTCATTGAGCTGGGCGATGAAAGACAGGAGACGCTCCTCGTAAGGCAGGGTCTTGTCGAGCCAGGGGTGGACCGCGGAGGCAGGTAATGCCAATGAGGCTATCCAAAATGCAGAGTTTACTCTCATCTTCATTCGCGTACACAACTCATGAGGGAGGATGAATCAACAAGAATCCCCCGAAAACATTCACCGGCGTCGGTACACTTTCATACTTGAGAGCTCTTGCAGGTCCCTTCACCGTGGCTCCATCTCCCATCTTATCGCGTTACATCGCATATCATCACTTGATCAGCTTCTTTCAAGCTTGTTCAGATACCTAGCCCTGCATCGGTCATTAAGGGATGGTCTGGGGCAGTAGTAGAAGGCCGAGGTAAGTATCTTCCTTTACTTTTGAATGCCGGCGAAGAAGCAACTTCACCGATAAGCCGGTATCATAGTGAAGATACTCTGGAGATTGCAGTGCGGGGTACATAACTAGCAGTTAAGAGAACGCGGAGATGACTCTGTGGGTCTGGCCATCAAAAAACCCGGTCGAGAAATATCCTGAGAGAAAGCCATCTTGGAGATTCGACCCTGGTTAGTGGGATTAAGAGAACCTGTTCGTTGGCTGTCTGCTTCTTGCCAGCACACAAAACGGGGGGTTTCCGGTCGGAGATCCACACTTCGGCTTCGACAAGCCGGCCCCGAGGCCAGACACCCGGGCTCGCGCCGAGAGCTAATCGGCGGCCAAGGGGTTCCGTCTCGGGAGTAGCATTCTAGAAGACTGGAAGGACCACCCACGAGCTTGAGTTCATTCAGACCTCGGTACTAGGACTAGAGCTGTAACATCTCTTGGATAGGATGCTACGCTGCTGACTTGCGAACCAAACATGGATGAAGCCCGCGAAAAGTATCGAGGCGAGACCGAGACGGGAAGGTCTGCTGGGGTTTGATATACCAGAAACGACACAGAATACTCAAGAAACCAACAACAAACAGGCACAGGTTCCCTTTTTGGCCGTCCCGATGCGAAGGGGCGCGGAGTTGAGCAAGGCACGACTGGTTTGAATCTCGTAGACTGACACAAGGGTGACAAGCGATGGCTGCTGGCACGAACACTTTGACGCGCCGTGCGTACGGTGCTGCAGATCCGGAATCCAGTCCATCGACTCATCCCTTCCCCCTCGCGTTTCTAGCGCGGCAGAGTCGGTCGAAAGTCGGAAGTTTTCTCAACCACGGGCACTCTGATCACTTCGTGTCTCCGTGGGGAATGTGGTCTAAGCCGCAGCTCGTTTCACCTGGATTCTGATACTCGTACAAAGATCTTTTCCCCCTCATTGTTCGCACCAAAGGTTCAGATTGTTGAGCCTCCCTGCCTCTCTTGCAGACTACTGGGGAAGTTCTCTCGCTGAGACTCGAGACACATTGGCGCGGTTCGTCTACGATTACGGTTCTCATTCCACTCAATCTTCTTGCCCTAGCCACCCCCGCGGTCGTACAAGCCGTCGCGTAAGTGGTCCACCGCCTGGCCACACCCACTGGGCTGCGGGAGAGTAAAAAAGACGAGTTCATACGAGACTGCACACCATTACCGGTTTTCATGGAGACTACGGGAGGTCCTGCGGAAGGAATCTTGGCTTCGTACACCGGGCCGCGGGAGTGAATTGAGTGTTTCCTGAATCGACTCGTGGGACACTCCTGATTTGCGGGTCTCGGATTGCACTCTACCTGAGTTTTATTTCCGGGCGTCACCTCACCTTAGGCTTTCCAACTAACCCAAATTTGAGCGGAAGGCCGTGTGGAAGGCAGACTCTGACTTACACGCTAGGCCATCGTCAGTGCCGCACATGAAGCTATGCATCGTGAAGACGCCAAAGACGGCCCGTCCTTTACGTCAATCAACCGGTCGGTCATCTGCCATCAGGCTTAAAGAACGTGCGATATCCAACGTATACTATCGCTTTGAGAATGAGAAGAGGCCTGAAAACAGTTTGATAGGACCCTTGAAGAGACCCTTCACACACAAGGCAGATGGCCGGCCGACCGAGGAAGAATTAAGCTCGCACCGACGAGCGGTCTGACCTCTGCCGGCGTATCCCGCTCTCGTTAACAAATCCTGCGACGGCTGGCCTGGATGATCCCAACAACCCCCGGTTGACTTCTCGAGGAGCTTTTTCCTATCAGAGGCCTGGAGAGAACTCCGCAGCAAAGCAAGTCGGAAGTTCACAAGCGAGAGGTTTGTCTTCTTTGGTAGTGGTGCCGTGGGGGATCGCCAGATCCGCCAGCGCGGGAAGAGAGTTGAGCAGGGATCCGTCCGCACGTTTCACGTTTCACTTCGGCGAGCGACGTCGTGTCAGGCTGTGCTTGGAAGGGGGAGGCTCATGGGCTGGAGAGTGTTTAACACCCCAGCTTCGGGGACGAATCCGTTTTATATCTTTGTTTTAAAATAGCTCCGCCGCCCGGTGGTGGTGTTGGTTGTTTGGCTGAGGGGCAATTCGAAGAGGCTTGGCTGCTGAGAATGTCGAAGAGAAGACGGAGCCCCGCGCCTCAAATATCAGTCGAGCAACGCATAGAGAGCTCGAGGGTTTAAGGTAGTGCACAGCCTCCACCATCGAGAAAGTGAGGCTCGAAGGAAGGCCAGATACATCGTCAATATTGCCCGAACCCGCAAGTACGGGTCGAATTTGCGGGCTACCCGTCGAGCTTGTGTGAAATAAGCGCCGGACCTTAAACAAGGATGACATCCCCCATGTCGACGATCAGCCTCAAAGGTTCATCCATCGGCAATGGGATGCGGGTCACGCCGATTCGCGCGATGCGAGTGGCCGAACAAAGTCATTCATATCCCATCCTGCCTCGAATCTGAGTAGGCCTGCCGTGCCAGGCACTCTTCCTGATCCATGCATTGACGTCAAGTACAAAGACAGCAGTCAATGCGAATAATGGCCAGAGGCATGCCCCGGTCGAGGAAGACGTGATGGAGGGCCAGAAGAAGCGTCGAGTCGAATCTTCTTCCTCGGGCCTCTCGCCCCCTCCTCTACCTCCCACTCCCCCAAACCGTACGAAGGTGGGCAAATAGGTACGGGGGTGAACCGTGAGTAACTTGTGAGACGGATTACGCTTTTGGGAAGTCGATGAGCTGAGATTTCATATAATGTTACTGTCTGTGCGAAGGTTGTTTTGCCCCTCCCGTATGTGAGGGTCTGATCTAGTCTGTGCCAGTCTATAAGCCTCCGAGATCCTTCTTCCCTCACTTGCCTTCCAGTTCTCTCATGCTTGCTGGCCAAACACGTCGATATACCCCCCGTACGCTATACATTTGAATCTCCGGAAGATCATCACCATCAATACCAACTACATTCACAACCCACGGTATCCTCGACCGACAAGATGAAGTTCACTACCGAGATCACTCTCCTCACTCTGGCTATGGGCGTCTTCGCCGAGCCCCCCACCAAGGTCGTCGCCGAGCGTGACTTGGCCACCATTCAGGGCGTCATCCAACAAGTCGGAAACTCACTGAAGGACCTCAACAAGGCTGTGGAGGGCTTCAACGGCGACCTCAGCGGCCTCGCCGGTGCTGCTGGCGCCTTCACCAACACCCTCAACCAGGGTACCCAGCAGGTTATGGGCACGAGCGAGATCACCCTCAACGAGGCCCTCCAGCTCCAGCAGTTCGTCTCTGGACTTCAGAGCGACGGCAACGCCCTTACCAAGAACCTCGAGAAGAAGAAGCCCGAATTCGAGAAGGCCAGCCTTTGCGGTATCATCTCCTCACAAGTCGGCTCCGTTGGCGATGGCGCCAAGAAGCTCATCGATACCGTCGTCACAAAGGTTCCTCAGAGTGTCCAGTCCGTCGCCAGCCAACTTGCCGGCAGCTTCGCCACAACACTCTCATCAACCCAGCAGTCATTCGCCGCAGGCAACTGCACCAACGCAAACGGCATGGGTGGCGGCGGCAACGGAACCTCCAACAACGGTACACCCAAGACTTCCTCCCCCGCCAAGGCCAGCGCTGCTACCCTCTCCGTCGGCCTCGGCTCTATCGCCGCGGCGGCGTTTGCTGTCATGTTGCTGTAAGCGGGTTTGGCGTGGAGATGGGATCGGAGTTTGGGGTTTGGACCGAAGATCAGCGGAGGATATATGGGAGATTTCAAAACTTTGTCTATGATGGCCTTTTTTCCTTTCTTATAGGCATGCCGAGAGTTGTATCATACGGGCTCAGGTAGACAATGCGAAGCCTGCTTCTTTGCACATTAAGTGTACGCTGACGTCTACCTTACCTCCTACGTTGCTGATAGGCTGACTATTATAGAGTGTCATGTGGACTGCGGTAGCTAAATCACATAGGCGGTTTACGTGTATGGGTTAGCTCAAGGCACGCGTTGAGGTATGAGGCGTTTCTCTATGATTATGAACTTTTGTCCCCAAAATAAGGACCGCAGACTATGTACCCTTTGTTGATTGGTGCCGTCGCTCACTCTATGAACCATCTTGCCTCCTCGTCACCTTCCTCCTCCTCATCTTCCAGCTCGTCAGGACCTGCGGGGATGGGCATGTGCCCAATCCAACCTGCAAACATATTGTTCAGTGTCTCCTCATCGATTACCATCTCGTCATCGGCCTCTTCGTTCTGTGGATTGCTCTGTGAAGCGGTGGGTTCGCTCTCGCTCTCCTTTGACTGCTCGGCCACGATGCGAAGATACTCCTGATATTGAGAATCGCTCATCTATTCGAAGTTAGACCATGAGAGATCCATATAATCGTCAACAACCCCGACGGGTTCCCAGAGACTTGCTTCAAAGGTGGCGGCATCCTCATTCTCGCGGTCGTCGTTGTGGGACTTGTCTACAATCGGTTGCTTTGGAGTTAGGCTTCTCGGTAGCAATGTCCTCACCCTTCTCAAACTCGGCGTTGGGGGGCATTTCATCCACCTTGCGTCGACGCCCTGTGTTCATAAGGTTAGATTCATCGCCCTCGTAGGCCTTGATGAGCTTTTCTGCCCACATGAGGTATCGGAAGTGGGCTTGATTCTTGACCACGAGGAGTGCCTCATCAAGATCAGTCTTTGATAGCAGCCCCAATTTCCCAACCCCATAAACCTGGATACTCGTGACTTTTTGAATGAAATCCCATTCCTCCAGTCCAATCAACTTTCTCAAAAAGTCTACCCACGTCGTAGAGTCTGCCGGTAGACCAAGGAAGGGGCTGATGGGATTGCCAAAATCAGAGACAAGATCTGCTTCTGCGATTGGCACCGATTTTGCTCCCATCTTCGCAAAGATCTCGTGCCAGACATCTATGGCCTCCCTAACTGGTTGTATGGCATCCTCGAAGTCTTGCTTGGCGACAGGGTATCCATCTAGCATTTCTGCCAAATCCTTCAGCTTGGTCAGAGATTCGTGGTATCGGTTGTCACCCGACAGCTCCTTGTCGAAGAGCTCCTTCAGTGCCTTGATATGCTGGTCGGCTACTGTTTTGGACTCCTTGTTAGAATCGTGCGAGATTTTGCCATTACCCGACCACTTCCACAAAGTCTTCCCTTCGCCCGGCTTCAGATCCGCTGGATCAATTCCCTCCCACCAAGGAAGGCACTATTCAGCGTCAAAGTAGATGTCGCTCCACTGTACACCGGCTTCGTGCGCTTTGGAAAGCCGTAGTACCATTTGTCTGCGATACTCGGGAAAGTCATTAGGAAGAATACCTCTGCTCCATGGACGTTCTCTGGCAACACGTGATCCACTGAGAACCTGCCTTGAGGGGGTTTCGACAATGCTGGGGCGTGGCTCGCTTTCCTGCAGGGGCCGACGTGGTGTGCCGTCCAGAGAGGACGGGTCCCTTGTGTTGGCGTCAGTCATATTGAGGTTGTCGAAGAAGTGAGGATGGGATTCCTGAGTCTTGGGTTCGTCACTACACCAAGCACACCTTACAAATATGGTACTTACGTGTATTTCTGATGAACGATTACTGGGGACAACGGGTCTGTTGGTGTGGGAGTAGGTAAATCTTGAGGAGCCGAGCCTCTCAGGCGCGGAGAGGATTGGTGAACTCGTGAGGGTATGGAAATGACAAGATATCTTCACTCTTGAAATTAGTAGGATGTCTTGAAAAAGAAAAGAAAAATTTAAAACATACCTCGGAGTGCTTTCCTGCCAGTTATTGGGTATGTGAGGCTGGAAGGGGCCCGTTGACACCAGACTCCTTCTGTGGGTAGATTCTGAAGAGAGGAAGATGAAGAAGGATAAGAAAGAGAGAAGACTCAAGTACTAAATGGATATCTTTGAGCCTTCTCTGGGCAGGAGCTGAAGACTAATCTACACTATTCAAAGAAGAGACTACCCCACAACTCACCTTGAGTGAGAGAAGAGGGGGGGGGGGGGGTTATGGACTACAGTCTCTACTCGACAAGCAACTCTCACCTCACTTTGGCTAAAGAGACTGTTATCAATCTTCTGCCTCGAACCCCTATCTTGCCCTCAACCCGGGGAAAGTGAACAGTCTATATTGAGTACGCTTATTGCGATACGCGCAGCTTGCCTTGCCTTCTAAACACATTGCAAGATGACATCAATCCAAGGCCTAAGAGTTGTCCGAGTTGAGAGGAATGTTGTCTCTATCTTGCCGCTTGATGAGGTTCAGAAACGTGCGCTTTAGCCGGGTGGAAGCAACTAGTTGAACACCACTATTTCTGTTTGCTGGTCTACTTACTCTCTGCTGTCAGTTTGGTGTCCATTTCCGTGATGGATGTTGGTTGCTCGGGAACTGCTGTTCAGCCTATACAACTCTTGGCCTGGTTTCTCGGTCTTCTTGGTGATAGTGTCCTCATCCGTGTCAGGCTTGGCCTTGAGAGACTTGAAATAGTAAGTATTTTATCGTTGAATACCTTGACTCGGTAGTGATCATTCATTCTTTCCCAGTCATATGTAACTTTCTTGCCTTTCTGGCCTTTATTACTCTTGTTATCTCTATTATACTTATGACTATCATTGCTCTAATTGTCATCCTTGTCGCATTTCTTACTTCTCATCTTTCAAATATTCACTAAAGAATGCTCTTGAAGAAGTGGGTTATAGTGGTTCTAATAATACTGGCGATATTAAGAACGAAGTTCACTTGTGTGTTGCCTGTCCTCTTATTCTACTACCCACTTACCAGCGAGATGCCGATGGTTGTTGCTGGATCTCCATTCTTACTGTAGACCATTGTTTGGCGGCTTCGAACATCTCACCGAGCAGGTCCCATCTCTGGGCCACTGATCACGTTCGACTGTAATGGTTCCATTGTTATCGAAAGGTCTCTAGTTCGATTCTGGAAGGGAAAATAGCCTCTCATCTTTTGGCTTTTGCTGTGTTGTGTTGTGTTGACGATGCCTTCCCCAAGGGGTTTGTGGGTAGGTGGTGGTATGTGCGGGGTCCGTTTTTGCTTTTGCTTCCTTCCCTCAGCGACATTGTTTCCCAACGCGACTCGGTTCCGAGTCAATGCCAATTGGCCTTGTTTCACTGCCCCTCCATGGCGGCATGGCGGCATAGCTTGCGCTCCCTTGCAGCGCATATCAATGCAGGGAGACGTCTCACCGCTTAGGCGCCAGAGCACGATGACGGACTACTATGCCGGTAGGCGTGAGGATACGGTGGATGTACATAGTACGTAGGTAGGCGTGGTAGGCAGGCTTGAATAACCCTTGGCTGGACAACGAGCAATCTAGCCAGCCCGCAGCCAGCAATGTATGTGTTGTATTTTGCGCTTTGAAAAATTCTTTTAGTCCAGAACGAGCGTTGAGCTCCCTTCTCATGAAATCTACCCCCCCAATAATCGCCAATGCTTGACCCAGTGTTAAACATGGTCTTTCCAATTCGTGATGCATGCCCGTGTGAACCAAACGCCGAGAATATGTAGAACAAAATATCAGACGGGATCATTGCCGCTCGGAAGATGTTCCTTTCGAGTAATGTCTCAGAGTGCCTCTGCGCAGCATGCCCGTCTATGTCTTCAACCCCACCAGACTGAGGAACTCGTTCCGGGTCTTCTCCTTCTTCTCGAAGGCACCGAGCACGCAGCTAGTTATCGTACTAGCCGTCGTCTTCTGCACGCCGCGCATGACCATGCACAAGTGACTGGACTCCATCACAACGGCGACGCCCTGGGGCTTCAAAATCTCCATGATGGCGTAGGCAACCTCCTTCGTCAGGCGCTCCTGAATCTGGAAACGTCTGCTGAACATTTCGGCAATACGGGGCAGCTTCGACAGGCCAATGACCTGGTTCTTGGGAATGTAGGCAATATGCATCTGCAGACACTTGTAAGCCGGGGGTCGCAATTGTCAATGGGCGAATATCGGGGTCTACAAACCTTGCCGGTAAACGGAACGAGGTGGTGCTCGCACATGCTAAAGATCTCAATGTCCTTGACAATGACCATCTCGTTGTGGCCTTCTTGGAAGATGGCATTGTTGACAATGTCCTTGACGTTCTGCTGGTAGCCGCGGGTCAGGAAGAGCATGGCCTCGGCGTAGCGTCTCGGGGTGTCGAGGATGCCGGGGCGGTCGGGGTCTTCGCCGACGCATTCGAGGATGGTGCGGACGGCGCCCTTCATCTTTTCGAGACGAACGGCAGCCTGCTCGGGGGACTCGTCGAGACGTTCACGGGTTCCGAGGCCTGAAAAGACATTGCGCATTAGTCAATTGGGGTTGCGCGGGGTCGGGAATGGCGTGACTCTTACTCGGGCGACTCAGGCCGTCAAAGTCGATCACCGGGCTCGGCGACCTCGTTACGACGCCCTCGGATTTGGGCTTGGACGACTTCTTCTTGGACTTGGATGTGGTGGTATCACGGGGATCGCGCGCAGGCTGGCTCAGGCTTGGGCGGCGCTGCTTCTTGGAGTGGTTGCCGTTGACTTTGGCATCGTCGTCGCCCTTGCGCTTCCTGCTGCTTCGCTTGCTTGACTGGCTCGCGGTCTCGGCTTCACTCCCGTCACTTGAAGCGCTGTGGTGACCGTTCTGGTGCCTGCTCCGGCTTCTCTTCCTTTCTTTGACGGCTGCGCCCTCTGATTGGGTCATTGTGATATCTGGATCCGAGGAGAGGAGAGGGAATTGGTTGTCAAGGTCGGTGGTTGTGGTTATGAAGGTGGGAGAATGGGAACATTTGGGTGCTCCAGATGAACAAAAGTCCGTACGCAGGCGGCCCCCGCTGCGCTCATTCGAGACTCTGGAGGGAAATCGGAGCAGAAAATTCGGTTACGGCCGGCGTTATCTTATCGGGTGGTTTAGCGCGATTTCAGAGGTACCTCCCCCAGGATTCAGGATTGCAACGTGCTGCAGCAGTGCATTTCTGCCAGTCACCGGTGCAGCGGCCAGCCACGTTCAGCGCTCGCTGCAGTGTAAGCTTGGTACTGCGAAAAATGGCTAGTTACCTCAGGTATCCACTTCTCCGATTCCCGTCTGACGCAAGGGTCCATTCCGGGTGGTACGTGCCTTCAGTGGAACCTCGCTCAAACATCCGCCCGTTTGTTTCTAGCCTGCCGTGCACCATCTAGGTACCTTACCTCAGTGTAGCTCCAACCTTGACACTGCCAAGGACTGGCCACGGTGTTGTCACAGCTGGCCGGGGAAACTCAGGAAACACTCGACCTTAGTCATCCGGGACCCCGTGCTCCACTCTTTCCAGATCCATCGACCGCAACGCGCCTTTACACTCAAGGCTTTAAGCTGGACATGATATTCGACGACATTGCTGACTTCCACCAGATTTGAACCCAAGCAAACGTGACGACTCCCCTACCGACACCTCCCTCGACCACATCCTATTCTCGACTCTTCCGACAGGCCCCCCCCTCGCTTCGATATCACAACTGCGCTTGCCGGCGCTCACCACTTCTCTTGCGATTCACCTAGAAAGAAGCCTTCGCGATGGCTTCCCCTCCATACTCGTACTCTCCAACCGCACACTCACCACCGTATCCGTCACCCGCGCAGCTCCCCATGTCGAACAAGAAGCGAGCATCAGATGGCGCCCCTCCCGGGTCTGCCAAGCGCCGAAAGGCCTCGACACTCTCCGTCACCTCCGCAGCCGCCCACCCCCTTCGTCAGACTTCTTTCCCACCCGAAGCCGGCTCACCATTCCCACGTTCACCCTCGGCCGACAACGCTAGCGTCGTCAGCGGCAGCCAAGTCAGTGCGCCTCCTAAGAAGAAGCGCGGCAGGAAGCCCAAGAACCAGACCAACGTTGAGACCAGAGAACAAACGCCCTCTCTTGTAGGCGGACGCGCACCTACAACTGTCAGTGGCGCAGGCGCTGGAGGCGACGCACAGGAGGAAGGCGCCAATGATGATGAAGACGATAACGATATGCGCATGGCGCTGGTGGATTCTACAGTCAGAACGCAGGAGCAGAAGCAAGAGGAGATAAGACTCCGTGCCATGCTCGTGGAGTCCTTTGACCCAGAACAGTACGATCGCTACGAACTCTGGCGTGCGGCCAAACTCACAGAGTCCGTAGTCAAGAGGGTAAGATTCCTCAACCCGGTTGCCGGCTGGCGCTATGCCATTGTACTGACGAAAGTACCACATAGGTCGTCAATGCGACAGTATCGCAATCCGTCCCACCGAACGTCGCTCTCGCCGTCAAGTCAGTATCGAAGCTTTTCATCGGCGAGCTCATCGAGAGAGCTCGAGATGTGCAAGGAGAATGGATCAAAGGTACTGGCGAAAAGCAGGCAGACGTACCCACGCCGCCGCCCAAAGACGACGCGACGCAGACAGAAGACAGAAGAGGCCCCTTGCGACCAGACCATCTCCGCGAGGCATGGCGACGTTACAAGCTATCGGGAGATGGAGGCTGGGTGGGAATTCAAGGCTTGTGGC